TGCGGGGAACTCTGCAAAAAACGCATCTTCGCACGGGCAGCCCGTGCGTTGGCCAATTATTTGTTTTTGTGTTTTTTCTTGCCATCGACTCTATTCGCAGTGTTTCTGTTTTGCTTGTTTCTATGCGTGCTGTTTCCTTTAACTCGATGCAAGTGTTTAGATGGGTCTTTCCATCTCTTTAACGGCTTTCCTAGGCTTCTGCAAGTACTTTTTAGCAACATTTCGCTTCACTTTTCTCTTATTTCTCATCTTGGTCACACGAACGGCTTAGCTTTCCAGTCTCTTTGTGTAATTCGTAGTTTAAATTAGTCTCTGTCGAAATTAATGAAAATGTCATTGCAGCCGGTGATTCGTTTGTTGTACAATTCGGGTGTGGAAGATGTGCAGTACTTACATTTCTCTGCAATTCATAGCCCGTAAGTTTCATTTTTCAGTGATGCAATGCAGTTTTTCGAAAAAAAGGCAAAAATTGAGACTACAAGCCAGTTTCGAATTGTTAATGTCCGCCACCTCCCGTCCTATGTCTTTCTTCCTTATTACCTTGTTTAGTCTTCGTGTCGGGTTGCTGGCGCTGTTTACGAAAATGCAGAAGTTCGGAGTAATGGTCTAATTATGTTTTTTGTGATTTGTTTTTCTTTTTACCTAAGTGTCGGTATGCTTGCCGACAGATTACTGAAATGATATTGAAAGAAGGTGGTAGGCCCGTCTACCTTGGCCAGGATCTAAGTACGCGCCACAATCTTCAGCCGCATATCGTGCGTAGAAGTACTGCCGATTGACGCAGATTTCGCAACATCGCCTGTGTCCTCAGAGCCTCGATTCGTGCTCATCTTTTCAATATCACTGAAAGCAGTATCGCACGAATGCGACTTACAAACTCCAGCGTTCGCTCCTCCAACTTACAAAAGTTGGGTCAGCGAACGCTGGATGTAATGGGAGGAGCAAGAAACGCATATGCTTTTGTGACCTTATAAACAGTCTCACTTTGCAACAGGTAAAT